TCCGGAACCAGCGGTTCCGGTTTCAAAAAAACTGGAACCGGAACCAAACCGAAAAGGTCCGGTTTGGAACCGTCCGGTTCCGGTTCCGGTTACAAAACCGATGGTTCCGATCGGTTTTTCGGCGAATCGCATAATTTTAAATTTTCGGCGATCGCATAATTTTAAATTTTAATTTTGAAGACCGGTTTAAAAAAAAAATTATTTGAACAATAAAATTAAAAAATACACCCTAAAAAATTAACAAATACTTCAATTAAATTTTTTTTTTTAAAGACTTGAACTGTTGACAATAATAATTTTTTTAAAAATTTCAACTGAATTTTTTTTTTTAAAGTTTGAACATAATTTTTAAAAAAAAAATGGGCTTGAACTTTTTTTTTTTTTGTTTTAAAAAAAAATTAAGTTGCCTACGTATCCTCTTGGTGTTTAGAGGAATCAAAGCCCACGTAGTTCTTACTTACCTTATACCAATTTCACTCCTTTTACCTTAATCGCTATTTGCACCACCGGTTGTTCCCATTGAGGACGCTTCGTATAAATCAAAAAAATCTTCATTTTCTTTTGGATTTTCTTGGGCTCTTAGTTCGGCCTTGGTCCAATCATCTACGCATGCTTATGCTTCTAATGAATCGGGTGTCATACGAGATCGTGTTTCATTAAGTATATTTCCTCCTTGACTAAAAGCTTGTTCAACCGCAACAGTGGACCGCAACAGTGGAGACCAGAGCTGCTAATTTGGTTTTGCCAAGTAAAGAATGAATTGGAAAAGTTTTTGGCGTGACGACTCCACCAAATTTAATTGGAAAATCAGTAATCTGCATAATCTCACCAAAACTCAAAAGAAAGTTTGTTAGATAATTATCAAAAATTCAGAATAGAATTGGAATTCCCTTGTTCTTTTTTTGTCTTTGTAGTAAAAACTGTTGAGCAACACCAACACCACTTACCCTTTTGGTTGTTGGAAAATTGTTGAATATTAGATAGTAGATGAACTAGAAACTTGAACAAATTCATTATATAATTGCATAATATTTTGTTTAACTTCATGCATTACTACATTTATATTAACATTATCTTCTACTACATTTATATTAACATTATCTTCTACATCAAGATTCAATACTTCATAATAAATAGTCAAATAATCACATAAAACATCCATTCTACATCTAGGATCAAATATAATAGCAACAAGATAAAGGGGTGCTATATTTTTAAAATAAGATAACCATTTTTTTTTCATTGAAAAAATACAATCTTTTAATAAATCATCATTTTGAAATTCTTGGAGTGCATTAACAATATTAATACACAGGTAAAAATAAATGAGATGTGGGATAATAAACCCCACTAAATTTATAGGTAGCATCATTAAAAATTTTTAAAATATCTAAAATTTTTGTACAAACAAATCTCCCAATTTTGTGGATATAAATTAATAATCCTCAATATTTTTAATTAGTAACAAAAAACATAATAATTCTTTATAAGAAAAAGACTCGTTTGGTAAATTTAATATGGTTTGAATTTCCACATTGGGACATCCCTTGAAACGTTTTGGCTTTTATTATTTTCTTTACAAAATTTAGTCCCAATTTTCATCATTGGGATGTGTCCATAAATAATGAAATAGCTTTTTTAATTGGGAGAAATAAAATATTCAAGAATTTTTAAAACGCATCTTGTACACATAAATTTAAAACATGGCATGCCATCTATATGAAAAAATTTTTCCACCAATATTTTGGTTCACAAATTTTTTTAAGTTCATAATTGATCTAGTAATTTGCAGAAGCAAATTAATCAAATGAGAATTGAAAAAATTTTTTTTTGTCAAAAACTTATATCATCTAAAATTGAACACAATAACTCTATAAATATTATTTGCAGTAATGTTTATCAATCAAAAACACGAAAACCAATAATTCTTTTTTGAATTTTCCAATCATCAATCAATCCAATGAACATGTAATACCCATATAAAATGCATTGGGCCCAATGATTCACCCCAAAAACATCACAACAAATTGAAACCAATAACTCTATAAATATTATTTGCAGTAATGTTTATCATCAAAAAACAGAAAAAACAATAATTCTTTTTTTGAATTTTCCAATCATCATCAAATCCAATGACATGTAATACCCATATAAGAATGCATTTTGCCAATGATCACTTCCAAACATCACACAAATTGAAACACGAATTTTCATTTGAGAAATAAAAAGCTTTCTAACTCCTTTTTTCCTTTATTATATAAAGGAAATAATGTTCGTTTTACAGTATTTCTTGGTACTCTTTTTAAGCAGAAAAGATTTAAAAGCTTTTTGACATAATTATTAAAACCTACTTTTTTCACCAAAACTAAAAGATAAATGTTCCATAGAAAATCATTTTTGCTTATTTTTTTTTTTTGTATTTTTTTCAGAAAATATTTAATAAAGAAAAGGGTTAGAAGCTTACCCGGAAATTTGTGTTTGAGACGATCAAATCCTTAATTTTTGTTGGATTTTTTGTCTGCCAAATGCTTCCCAAAAATGATCCCATAGCCGCCCGGCCCGCTTGTTTAAATTTATAAGATTTTCCACAATAATTGCAAATTACATCGTACATTTTCTCACCTTTGAATTTTTTTGTGAAATGAATGGCGAATACGTCGGAACTTTGTCTTGCTCTTGCAAAAATTTGTGCTCGTTGCTCTTGCTCTTGCTCTTCATCTTCTTGTAATTGCTCATTGATTTCAGATTCTTGAGTTGGAATTTGCAAATTTTCATTTGGATAACCCTCAAAATTAAATTGGTCGGGAATCATATCATAGATGTCGTTTGTAGGGATAGATGATTCTCCAATCTTTCCCTTGTCCTTATCCGAATTTGAGTTTCCTCCACTTGCCATTATATGATAATAAAATATAATTTGGAAAATTGAATAAAAAAAATTAGAGAGAATAATTACTGAATAATTACTTAATAAGAGAGAATTGTAGAGTAGAGAAGAAGTAATATGAATTAATATAGAGTAGGTGTAGTATATTGGTAGAGAGAGTAAAGTAGAGAGTGTAGTATATTGTAGAGAGAGTAAGTAGAGAGAGTTTTGAGAATTTTTTTTTGTAATGAATTTTGTAAATAAAATAGGTATTTTATAAATAAAATTCAAAAATGTTCATTTTTCCAAATACCCTTAAAACTAGCCGTTAATGTAGCCGTTTCATGGCTTGTGGGAGGGGTAATTAAAAGAGATTTCAACAACAAAAATTTTAAAAAAAAAAAAACCAAGATCCTGACAGTTTACAAAACGGCTAGAATAGCCGATTCCGAACCGGCGGTTCCTATTCTAACCGGCCGGAGAACCGACGGTTCCAGTCCGGTTCCAACCGGTTCTCTGGAACTGCCGGTTCTGGTTCCTAATTTTCTGGAACCGAAACCGAACCGGAATTTTCCGGTTCCGGTTCGTCCCCGTTCCGGTTCTCATCGGTTCCGGTTACAGTTCCGGGCCGGTTCGAACCGACGGTTCCGGTTACCGTAACCGTAATATGGCCATGCCTAGGTTTATCCATATTTACAATTATTATATAGGTTTATCCATATTTACAATTATTATATAATATTTTGCTAATATTACAACCACCAACATACTTTCATCTCATTCTCATTTTCTTTCTTATTATCTTTTTACTCTCTATTTTTCTTTTTATGTATTTCACACAATTATCATACATATATTTAATTAAATTTAAAAATTTATACTAAATAATATAAATAGCAACTAAGTTCAAAGATTAGGTGACTTATAGTTGAACCTGGGAAATTATTAACTAACCTATATAGTTAGCTGCAGCCAACTAAATTTGCAGCAAAGATGTACCAAATAATATATAATACGATAAGAAAGTAAAGCTAATTGCAGAACAAAACCAGGATAGCCAGAAACAGATGCTCAACCAGTAGAAAGCAATTCCTAAAACAGCAGAGGAACGCATAAATCAAACTACCTCAGGACTTAGCAGAAACAAATGCGTTAAAAGGTCATAACCACAATGATGCAATAAAGGAACCAAACAGTAAGAAGCGACAATACAAGAAACCCCTTTGTTAATGAAGTCCACATTTATAATATAACTCAACCATTGTGAAAGATCAAGGAGAATAAGTTACATGCAGAGCATACTATCGAAACAATCCGTTCATAACCACTTACCGAAACTCATCATCAAAACAAATTCAGATCAGCAATCAGGAATACAAAAGTTACTAACCCTTTAATAAACAATCCATCTCTCGATCTTTTTATTTTAAAGAATCCAAGAACTTAAGAAATGTAATAAAGGATACTGACCCCTTTGAATCCAAGAATCCAAGAACCATAAAACTAGATAAAAAAAAATGCCTGAAAAATAAGCTCAAAAGCTGACTATTCAATTCAGTTCATTTTTACTTTTGAAACTTTGGTTTGTTTCGTTTGCCCTGATTCAGTTGTCACATCTTGGATTGTATTGAAGAATGAAATGAGAAATTGGAATTCTTTTCTATGTAGTGAACATGAAGCATATGCTCAGGTCATCTATGTAGTGAACATGAAGCATATGCTCAGGTCATTGGTTTCTCCAACAGTGCAGAGAAATACCATTCATTTTTATGAATTCCCCTGTGAAGCTTCAGGCCTCCATTCCTCATTAGCTTCTTGAAGCCAATGTAAACTATCAAGTCCGATTCAATTGTTATCCAAATGAGAAACAATTATCAAGCCAGAAAATGGTAGAGCGTTCCGCTCTCCCGAGGACTTGTAGGCAAATGCAAATGCAAAAATGAAATGTGACGATGCTTATTGCTCTGCATAAGACGGACCCATGACTTAAGTCATATTGATCAACCCGGCAAGTGCTCATTGCCACTGAGTTACTAGGTTTCTAATTTTTGTTATTACAAATAGCAACGTCAAACTAACTATTTTATTATTATTATTATTATTCGGATAAAAAGAAATAATTTTAATTATTGAATAATTTTAATTATTGCACACTTGTATATGTCACTTGATAAAATAATAGCTTGAAGCAAATCTCTAGGCTTATTGGTAAACATGAATCCCTTTCTCATTAATGAGAAGCGAGCCAAGATCCGGAGTGAGTGGTAATAAGAATTGAAATTGTCATCTTCAATATATACTAATTGCTAAATTCCTGAAAGTCCAAACTGGCCGGCGATTCACACTCACCAAAGCTTCTACAAGAACATGCAATCTTTCTTTCTCCTCTTATTCCCTTCCTTTCTTCTACTTTCTATCTTCTTTCAAATACTATATACTACTTCTAAAGTGGAAGAGACAGAAAGTGAAAAATGGGAAGTGGAGCCGATGATTACCAGAAAAGGCATTCACAAAATCAACAACTCCACGCCAAGTACAAGCTCAAGATGCTTGTTCTTCTAATATTAACCAATCTTTTAACTATCTATATCTTTGCTGGCCCTTCTTTGAGCCTGAAACTACCTTCCTACACTAATCACGTCCCTTTCCCTATCTGGGATTCCAATCATCTTCTCCAAGAGCTCAACCTTTCCCTATCTGGGATTCCAATCATCTTCTCCAAGAGCTCAACTCCACTAAACAACAACTTGCTACAAGTTATTTATTGCTTGATGAGTTGCACCATAAGCTTAACTCCACCAACTTGCTTGTACAGGCGCTTCTTATGGAACTAAGTAAGCAACCTGTCAAGGACTCGGATCATAATAATGATAAATTCATTATTGTCGGATGAAGAGAAAAAGTAGGGATCAGAATCATAGTTCATCATTTCCCTGTCAACTAACCTGTACACACAGTAAAAGTAAAAATCATGTTAGGTGGAACTTTAGGAGTAATTAGAGCCGTAATTAGTGGATAGTTAGAAGCAGTTTGTATATTAAAATGTAAATATTAAAATAATGTAATCTTTACAGAAAAAAAAGAACAATTTTTTTTCCGCTCTGTGAAACATGGTATCAGAAGCTGGTGTTTTTCATCCAGTCAGAACTGACTGAACACATTTAGGCTCATCAACCTACCTTCTGACTTAACCTGAAATACAATATCATCATGTTCTGATGATAGTGTTTCATACCTCGGGTCTCCAGACGACGAAGACCTGACAAGAATTGCAAACCTGATTAAATAAATACCCAAAACCAGAAACAAACCATTTCAGATAACCTCACCATCAATGTCAAATTAAATAGCCAAAATTATGCAATATGGTCACGTATGATGAAAGTAGCTATTGGGGGAAAATCAAAAAAATTATTAAACCACATCACTGAAGCTGCTACACCTCCATCCGCTGGAGATCCAGTTTTTGAAAAGTGGGAACAAGAAGATTTGATTGTGTTCTCATGGTTAATTCAGAACATGGAACCACAACTAGCAAACAACTTAACAGAGTATTCCAAAGCTAAAGATTTGTGGAATGCTCTTGTTATCACATATAGCAGTGGGAAAGATAAATTACAGATATTTGATCTACATACCAGAGCAAACAGCATGAAACAGGGATCATCAACACTAGAAGAATTCTGGCTCACCATGCAAGGAATATGGGGGGAGGGGGGGAAGAATCGGAATCGCACGGGAAGCCCTAAATCCCGATGAACATGCTGACATGCTCAACAGATATCGCGACATACAATAAAGTCAAACAAGAACAAAAACTATTTCAATTCTTAAATGGAATAGATCACCTGTACGATCAGATCAAAAGGGAAATCCTCAGATCGGAGCATCTTCCCTCAGCTGAAGCCGCCTATGCCTCTGTTCGGAAAGAAGCCGCCCGATTGAACATCATGGGACCAGCTAACAGAGAATCGCCATCACAGGGCATAGGCGACGGCTTTGTCATCATCGGGAAGAAAGAAGCAAGTGAAGCAACTGGTGTAGGACTCGTTGCGCGTGTCCAGCGACGGTCAGAACCAAGAAACGATGGTTCATCATCCCGTCCAGATAAATTGAGACTCAAGTGCTCTCATTGTGGGATGAGCAAACACACAAAAGATCAATGCTTCGAATTAATTGGGTATCCAAAATGGTGGAACGAGAATCACCGAAACAAGGGCACAAAAAGCAGCAAAGCAACCGCCGTCGTGGGTAACCTAGAGGCTGCCAGCAGCGGTGGCGACAACAGAAGAGGTCAGAGTGAGAGAGGAGCGATGGGAATGGTGGCGGCACAAAATGAAAGGGCAGATGGAACCCTAGAAGGTGAAGGAAAAAGAATGGGGTCATTTAACATAAAACCCCAATTTTTATTTCCTTTATTTTCTAACCAAAGAAAATATGAGTTATTACAGAAACCCAAATCTTTTGAAAATAATAATAAACAGACAAGAAAAGATAATCGTTGGATTTTTGACTGTGGTGCTACTGATACAATGACTTTTGAGGCGGCTGACATAATAGCACCATTAAAACCAAAAAAAACCCATGTCCAAACTGCAAATGGAAGCACTGCAAGCGTAGAAGGAGCAGGGGTCTATTGAAATATCACCCACACTAAAACTGTCAAATTGTCTTTATGTCCCTTCACTTTCACATAAATTGCTGTCTATTAGTCATGTAACAAAGGAACTTAATTGTACCATGCTAATGACACCCACTTTCTGTATATTGCAGGGCATCAGGACAGGAACGATTATTGGATGTGGCACTGAGCACCAAGGGCTGTACTAAGTGGATGAAGTTGCCCAACATGGTACTGTTATGCTAGCACATGGAACTGCGGATCGAGAAGCTTGGCTTTGGCACCGGAGATTAGGACATCCATCCACGGGTTATTTACATCTTTTATTTCCTAAACTCAAATATTATTTAAGTCAAATAATATGTTTAAGTGCTGAGCACCATGTGTTTTGGCATAATAAAGTCAATAGTGGGACAACTTTTAAACCGAGTAATACCCATTTATGGAGTCTCTTTTTCTTTGGTTTCATATCTTGATTGTGTGGGGTCTAGCTCCTGTCTTTAGCTTGAGTTCAAGGTTTTAGATATTTTTTACTCTTTGGTTTGCATTGCAAAACTGGCACTCGTATGACATGGGTGTATTTTTTTGAAAAATTTATAAATTTGAAGTTGTTGATAAATTTATTTTTTTCCTTTTTTTGGGGGGTTTTATACTATGATCCCACAACTCAGTTCAATCAATCAATTTAAGATTTACGATCTGATTAATTGGGTGAATACATAAATGAATCCATGAAGCAATGTTTCTCACCAAAAAATAGGACTTGTCCATCAAACAACTGAATCCATGAAGCAATTTTCTCACCAAAAAGGACTTGTCCATCAAACAACTTGTCCTCACACACCCGAACAAAATGGTGTGGCAGAAAGGAAAAATCGCATTCTTCTTGAAATGACTCGTGCCATGTTAATTGAGTCTGGTGTCCCTAGATTTTTTTGGCCTGAAGCTATTGCCACAGCAGTCTATCTTTTAAACAGGCTTCCCACTAAAGTTTTAAAACTTCAGACACCAATACAAATGCTTGCTCAATTTGCCTCAATTCCCTCAACTCTTACAATTCAACCTCGAATATTTGGGTGTTCTGTTTTTGTTCATATACCCAAAGTTGACCGAACAAAATTTGATCCTTGTGCTATTAAATGTGTGTTTGTGGGATATGGGGTCAATCAGAAGGGTTATAGATGTTACGATCCAAAAACCCGTCGAGTATTTACTACCATAAATTGTGACTTCCTTGAAACTGAGTATTAAATACCATTCCCAGTGGTCAGGGGAGAAGAGAATAACAGGACACACTGAGTTGCGTTTCCCAAGGTTCAGGACAAATGTTCAGGGAACAACGTTCCATCAGGAACAGTTAACAAAGTACCCCACCGGGCCATCTGAAGCATTGTATACAGTCGTACGGAGACTTCAATACCACTTGAAGAAAGTCTTCCTTCCTTCCTGATACCTGAGGTAAGAGGATTCTGATGCTCCAGAAACTCCTGTTATTGAACTGCCTCTAACTGTGTAATAATTTGGAGACCTCTGCTTAGAACAGGAAGAGAATGTTGGACCGGCGACTCATACATTCACGTGCATTTCTGCCCTTAGTCACATGCATTCACATGCCTATGATATTTGGGGTAGGGGTTCACAAAGCACGAAGAACGAACTATCCAGTGACAAATGTGGTCAGGGGGAGCTTATCAGAAAGGGTCAGGGGGAGCTTATCAGAAAGGGCCAGAGCCTTCACTATAGCTCTATATTCAGAAGAAGTTCCTCATACTATAGAGCTTGCCTTAAAATCAAAAAATTGAAATCAGGCAATGAAGACGGAGATGGATGCTCTAATTAAAAATGACACATGGGAAAAATGTCAATTACCAGATGGAAAGAAATCAGTGGGTTGTCGTTGGGTCTTCACGATCAAACACAAACTGGATGGGACTGTTGAAAGGTATAAAGCTCGGTTAGTAGCAAAAGGATATACACAGACATATGGTATAGACTATTCAGAAACCTTCTCTCCAGTAGCTAAAATTGATACGATCAGAGTATTATTCTCGATAGCAGCTAATAAAGGATGGCCACTCCATCAATTCGATGTAAAAAATGCCTTTTTGCACGGAGATCTAAGAGAAGAAGTTTATATGGAAGCACCACCAAGAAGAAGTTTATATGGAAGCACCACCAGGGTTCACAAATGGATTTAAAACTGGAGAAGTCTGTCGTTTGAAGAAGTCACTTTATGGTCTTAAACAGTCTCCAAGAGCTTGGTTTGGACGATTTACAATTGTAATGAAGAAATATGATTTTAAACAAAGTAATTCAGATCATACATTATTCCTTAAGCAAAGGGGTAATCTTATTACTTGTTTAATTATCTACGTTGATGATATGATTATTACAGGAAATGATGATGAAGAAATGTCAAAGCTGAGAAGGAACTTATTCACTGAATTCGAAATGAAAGACTTAGGAGCACTGAAGTACTTCCTTGGAATTGAAGTATTGAGATCAACAAGTGGAATTTTTATATGTACAGTATTACTCTGGATTTACTTGGCAGAAATAGACAATGGTTGACTGCAAGGCCAGCTGACACGCCTATTTGCCCCAACAAATGTCATGACTTTCAGATAGTTAGAAGCGAGGCAGAAATCGGTTGATAAAGAAAAGTATCAAACGACTAGTTGGAAAATTAATTTATTCTTTCACACAACTCGATCAGACATAGCATTATGCCAGTTGGAGTAGTAAGTCAGCTTCATGCACAGACTCAAACTGATCATATTTGAATGCAGTGTAAGAATCATTCAAGTACTTAAAGCGCGCACGGTCTAGTCAAGGAATTTCTGTTTAAAACGGAATGGGCACTTGGATATACAAGGTTATACTGATGCAGGACTGGGCAGGTAGTTCATATGCATCGCAGATCTACTTCAGGCTTACTTCACGTTTGTTGGCGGAAACTTAGTCACGATGCGAGAGTAAGAAACAGAAAGTTGTATGGCATTGGTCCTAGTGCAGAGAGAGTTTCGCAGGAAATTAGCTCGTGTTCTAACTGAAATTCTTGGCTAAGGAAAATTGTTAAGTGAGGATTTGGTTTTTCCTCCATCTGGAGCAATTAAAATTAAGTAAAATTATGTGTGATAATAGAGCTGCAATCAGCATTTCAGAAAATCCTGTTCAACATGATAGGACCAAGCATGTTGAAATTGATAGACACTTCATCAAAGAAAAACTAGAAGCAGGAATTGTGGAATTGCCGTTTGTTCGATCTGAAGATCAGTTGGCAGATATTTTGACAAAAGCAGTTAATGGAAATTCCTTTCATAACGTATTAAACAAGTTAAGTATTGGAGATCCCACTACTCAACTTGAGGGGGAGTGTCGGATGAAGAGAAAAAGTAGGGATCAGAATCATAGTTCATCATTTCTCTGTCCACTAACCTGTACACACAGTAAAAGGTAAAAGTAAAAATTCTGTACACACAGTAAAAGTAAAAATCATGTTAGGTGGAACTTTAGGAGTAATTAGAGCCGTAATTAGTGGATAGTTAGAAGCAGTTTGTATATTAAAACAATGTAATCTTTACAGAAAAAAAAGAACAATTTTTCCCTCTGTGAAACAATTATTGATGGTTTTTCTGATGAGGTTATGTTAGCAATAGCCCCTCATAAACTTCCACTTGGTTACTCTCCCAGAACTGGCTCTGATGAGGTCTATCCGCCGTTGGGTGCAGGTTGCCTGAGATATCAAGAAGAGTTGACTAAGTACATGAGTTATGAGATTGGTGGAGAATGTCCTGTAGATGATGTTTTTGCTCAACGGTTGATGTTAAGAGGATGTGAGCCTCTTCCTCGCCGGCGATGTCGCGTTAAGTCACCGGCTAACTACGTGGAGCCAAACCCATTACCAGAAAGTCTTTGGTCAACTCTTTGGTCAACTCCACCAGATAACAGCATCATATGGGATCCATATACCTGCAAAAATTACAAATGCTTGATTGATAGAAAAAATGCACCAGGTTACTATGACTGCAAAGATTGTTTCGATTTACAAGGAAGGGAAAAGAAAAGATGGATGTTTGATAATGGAGGACTTGATTATGGAATTGATCAAGTACTTAAAGTAAAACCTCAGGGAAGTATTCGTATTGGACTTGACATAGGAGGTGGCACAGGAACATTTGCAGCAAGAATGAAAGAGAGAAATATTACTATCATTACAAGCACAATGAATCTTGATGGTCCATTCAATAGCTTTATTGCATCGAGAGGATTGATTCCAATCCACCTCAGTGTTTCACAAAAAGCTTCCATTCTTCAAAAACACCCTTGATATTGTTCATTCTATGCATGTTTTAAGTAATTGGATACCGGACACAATGCTTGAATTCAATCTTTATGACATTTATAGAGTTTTGAGGCCTGGAGGACTTTTCTGGCTTGATCATTTCTTCTGCTTTGGATCACAGTTGAACCAGACTTACATTCCGATGATAGATCGTGTTGGATTCAAGAAGCTGAGATGGAATGCAGGCATTGTTGGATTCAAGAAGCTGAGATGGAATGCAGGCATGAAGCTTGACAGAGGAATTCAAAAAAATGAATGGTATTTCTCTACCCTGTTGGAGAAACCGATGTCCTGACGAGCAGGTAAAAATAGATGTAGAATATTTTGTATGCTCTATCTGGGAAATAGAAAGGGAAAAGAAAAGAGTAGTGAAAAATAAAATCTGTTGCGAATCTAAACAGGAAGCACACAAACAAAATCTGTCTGTCTTACATTTTTCAAAATCTGTCTGTCTTACATTTTTTTTTTCTGTCTATCATTATCAAAAGCATCACTTCTGCTAAATATTGACAAGCAAAGAACTCAATTGAATTACATGCTTTGAACAATAAAAGGAAACTCAAGACAAGATTTAAACACTCCAAACTGTAGGGAATTTCAAAATTGAAATGTAATAATAATGTTCATTGTGGCTCTATCTTTGAAGGTGGAAAGCCCCCACTATAATCGAATGCATCTTTGCTGTAAGGATGACTTCCCTTGCTTGCTTCCTCGTAACTTGCTGAAGTAGATGCTGATTCAGCATTGGGGTTTAAACCAGCTAGCTGCAAGATATTCTCTATTTCTTTCACTACCTCACCCATTGTAGGTCTGTCTGCACCTGATTCTTGTACACATCTCATTGCAAGATCCACAAACTTATCTAGACCCTTTAATGTTGTTTCTAGACCAATGCCTGGGTCAAGAAGTTCATGGAGGTTATATAAATCTTTTGTTCTATCAAGTGCCAATCTTACCTCCCTCACTATGTAATGTCCGCGTTCTATTGGTCTTCTTCCAGTTAGAAGCTCCAACATAACAACTCCAAAACTATAAACGTCACTCTTCTCTGTTAGCTGCTGTGTCATGTAATATTCTGGAGCTGCTGTGTCATGTAATATTCTGGATCCAGATAGCCCTAAAAAATGTAAAATAAGTATTTTCAGCTACAACATTTACAAATTCACTCCTAGGAAGATGGTAGCTACTAGCTAAATAATTGTTGGCATCATTTTTCTTCTTACTCCATTTTCTGTCTTTTTAGCTTGCATTTTTTTCAACATCAGATGAACTACTTTTATACCATGTGTTCTTTTAAATTCTCATTATTATCACAAGATACAATTAGAGTATTTTTCGTAGAGGAAGGTTATGGATATACTGACCATTGTTCCTTTAACTTGAGTAGTAACATGACCCTTTTCAGTGTCACCAACAGGCTTTGAGAGACCAAAATCAGAAACTTTTGCAATTAGCCGTTCATCCAGTAGAATGTTGGTGGACTTTATGTCCCTATGTATAATAGGAGGGTCAGCAAGTTCATGCATATAGGCCAGACCTCTTGCTGCACCAAGGGCTATTTTAAGTCTCCTGACCCAATCCAACCTGATTCCTGTCGTCCCTGCTTGGATGGTAAAGAAGAAAGAAGGGATTAGCATCCTTTTAAGGCAAAAGGTTTAGTCTCCCAATAAGTTCCAATGAGCAACAAATGTTTATAAATTTAATTTCTCATGTGATTGTTCATCCAATTGAAGTATTTGCAGGGTTAACAAAAGTACCTGATAGACTATCACTGAGACTACCATTTGTAACAAACTCATACACAAGCATTTGTTCACCTCGCTCAAAGCAAAAGTAACAAACTCATACACAAGCATTTGTTCACCTCGCTCAAAGCAAAATCCCAGAAGGCTTACTAAATTTTTATGATGAACTCTGGATAGAAGTTCAATCTCATTTTTGAACTCTACCCCACCCTGCAATGATCCTTGTTGAGCTCGTTTGATGGCGATTAGTTGTCCAGAAGGAAGGTTTCCTCTGTAAACCTGTAAACAACAGAAGAAATTATTGATTCCCTTATAATGAAACCTCGTATTACTAATTTGATTACACGGTTCAGTAATTTATTTAGTAGTCAAAAGTTAACCTTTCCATAACCCCCGGATCCAATATCATTGGCTTCTGAAAAATTATTGGTATATCTCTTGAGCTCTTCAAAAGAAAAACATTTGGCTGCTTTTATCTTTGGAATATCAGCACCACTGTTCTTAGTTGAATCCCAATGTGCTACAATTTCACAATGTGAAGTAACAAAGTAAATCCGAGAGATTCCATTTGAACTTGAGAATACTAAAATTGAAAAGTTGTTCAAAATCTTGTACCAAAAGGATTGTTCTGTTCGGTTGCTCTTTTTGCTTTCTTCTTCTGACGATAAGCATAAAGGCCTGCTAAGATTACTTCTGACGATAAGCATAAAGGCCTGCTAAGATTAATAATAGCAGAATAACAGAACAACCAACTACAGCTCCAATGATAATGCCAGTGTTTGATCTGCTTGATCCTATATCTTCCCCTAAATGACAATTAGAGGTGTTATAAGAACAGAAAAAATAATGCAGCAATTCTTTTTTTAATCATGCATGAAGTGGAAAATACCAGGAAAATACTTGTAATCATCTGCAATATAATAGTAAGAATCATCTGCAATATAATAGGTAAAGGGGTCCAAACATAATAGTAAGGTCCAAACATATGAGGTGGCTTGAAAGTCTGATTGCTTAGCACAAATCCAATACCAGAAATAATTGTTCGATTAAAACGATCATGGCCTGATGGAAAGATTTTCAGATTCAAATCAAGATACAGAGATGAATCCTTTCTTGGATTACTTAGAGAAACTGAATCCACAGGAAGTTGATTGGACCTAAAAGAATCCATCATTTTTTGCTGAAGAGATGTGTAAGTGGTGAAGTTTCCCAAGTCTGAGAATGATGGAGCCCTGAAAACTAGAAGTCCTGTGTACGGATATGAGCATTTACAGTTAGGACTTGAAGTTTTATTTGCAGTGCAAGAAGCAGGCACACAATTATTTGGTGGTGTTGAATATGAAGAACCAGGTCGGGGAATAGTGCAGTAAGTTTCTGTTACTCCTGTTTCATCACAAACTGGGTTGCTCACAAAACTGGGTTGCTCACAAGGCTGCAAATTTGAAAAGATAAAACAATCATAAGAAGCAATGAACATCTCGAGGAAGTTTATCTTGATTTTAAGTTCATTAGTAGTATAAGAGTCAAAAGTTTGGAAGAACATGACTTACATGACAGCAACTTGATTTTGTCCTGGTCTTTTCGTATAGGCAGAAATGAAATTTTTTCGCAAATCAACAAGTTGTAATCCATTACCATAGGTTGTTCCGATATCGTTGTTCCGATATCTAAAGAGCCATTAAGCTGGTTGTTACTTAATACCCTATAACCAGAAGTCAAAACAAACTATAAGCAAGTGCATTGTAATCCGATAAATTATATATAGCTGCTTGTTTCTATCAAATCCCTGAAAAATTAACTAATTGCTTTTTCATAGAGACTCTTTGGCATTTCATGAAAGTGAATGTTGGCTGATACTCACACAGTCTGTAAACTGGGAAGGCTGAAGAAGTTAGTTGGAACCTGTCCCTGAAGTTGTACGCCCTCCATCGTTCTGCCATATAAAAATTATAAATTATGGGAAGACCAAAACAGTAAAACCCTTTTCAACTTGATTCATGCACAGCCTGAAAAAACCCATTTCTACCTTTCTGTTCCCTGACAAAACCATTTCTACCTTTCTGTTCATGAACTGATTCCACATGGACTTTTATTCTACAATTCTGAATGTTTTATAATTTTTTATCGTACTGCTAGTACCAAGTCTTGATTCTACAAACATCGATCCTTTTCCTACATACCTTGTCATTCTGAGTTGATAATTCTCATAAATCCTTTTTTGCAAGAATGTATTATCCTTAATGTTGTAATTTTATGGAATTTGTTTACACTAGACAAGCTCTTGGTTTCTCATTCGTATTTCGATTCTTCCTCCATCATATACAGGCTTTGGAAGATGTAAAAAGGTTTGTGTTAAGCACACAACAGAATACAAAACCACAGCTTGTTTAATTCTTCAATTACAAAACCAAGCTGTTTAATTCTTCATTAATCTTATCCTCTATGTGATGATTCATAAATATAAGCAAGGAGTGTGGTGGGAGGAAGAGAGACATACAATGTTGTCAAAGATTGCAAGGTTGAAATCCAAGAAGGAAATTCTGATGCATCAAAACTATTATTGCTGATGTCCCTGCATGTCCAAAAAAAGAATAAAACTTTTTTTTTCCCTACTAATATAACAAATTATATTAATAGACACATAAAACCTTACAAGTAAGTGAGCAAATTCATCCCAGTGAGGTTGGGAAAAGGTCCTGTCAATTGATTGTTGGATAAATATCTGAAAATGAACAACAAGGCACTCTTAACAGAGTAAAAATCCAAATGCAACCATATCAATGAGTTCAATAAAATCATTATGAAAGCTTTAATTCTCTTCTGTTTACTTACAAATCACTAACACTGGTAAGATTGTTGAGGTTCTCAGGGACAGGACCTGTCAATGAATTCCTATCAAAGCGTCTGTAGGCAACATAATACATTCAGGACAAACTTGATTGACAGAAATGCCAACATTTAAAACTCCCAAGTTTTCGATACAGATACTCACACAACCTCCAAAGTCTTTACAAGGCCAACAGAAGAAGGAATACTACCAGAGAGGTTGTTGCTGCCAAAAAGCCTGCCCAAACAAAAAGAAGAAATAGAACCAAGAAATAATTTGTATTTCTTCAGCAACTTATCATCTTCCCCTATTATTATCATAATACATTGGAAAGAAACTTACAAATGTATGACTTACAAATGTATGAGAGTCATGTCTGAGCTGAAAAGTTGAGATGGGATTGGGCCAGAGAGCTTGTTCGCTTCAAAATGACTGTTAGTAAGTTCTACACATATTAGTCTTCATAAAATGACTTAATGAAAACAAAAGAAAGTCCAACCAAAAAAGTTTTGACATACAAGTGTTTTGCATTAACTAGCATATCAAGACCAGGTGTAGTCCCTGTGGAGACTGGGATGGGTCCATCAAGCTTATTGTCAGCTAGATCCAGCCAATAAAGCTTAGATAGAGTGCCAATTGAAGGTGGGATTGGTCCACTGAAGCTATTAGAATTTAGAGATCTGCAGTTAATAGCAATAAAGATTTTTCAGAAATTTTGGTTCAGACGCACTACAAAACAAGTTAAAAAGGAAAAATAGAACAGGCAAAAGGCCAAATATTGGATGAGTTCTGAGAATTTCAAATGCTTATGCAGAGGAAACAAAAGCTTCTTCTTCAAGATTCATCCAACTAGCATAAGTTTGGCAAGTTGAGATCCTTACAGATAGACCAGTTGCTGCAGTGATCCTATTGAAGTGATCCTATTGAAGCAAGGGATAGGACCAGAAAAAACTACACCCAAGCAGGATCCTAGGAATAAAAAATGAATTGTTTTAGAGTCAATTAAAGGACTGTGAAAATTTAAGATATATATACACCAAATTAATCTATAGTTGCTATGTTCTTACAAGTTTCTTTAGCTTCTTCAAATTCCCCAATAGAGGCGGAACCGAGTCCTCCTCAAGTTCCTTGTTGTATGAAGATCCTGAATAAAAAAAAAATGCCTGAAGTATCAGAAATAAACTATAACAATAAGAAGTTAATTTCTTCAATTTCAAAATAGATAACAAATTCCAAATAACATATACTTAAGAAAGATAGGCCTGGTTTTGCCACAATCTAAATAGAAATAACAATTGAATGAAGAATAATTATGACAGACTTACAGAATTGTAGTTTCTGAGAAGGAACGAGATATCTCCAGACAGTTTGTCCCTGTCAATCCATGCTTGGAATGTTCTGCAATTAAAAAATAGTCAGGCAAATCTTAAAACAAGGAACAAACAATTTTGTCAGTGGTGATTAATCAAAAAGGTTGACTATTTTACATGGAAGTTCACGACGCGTTGAACGCAAGCGACAACTATGCCATCCCATCTATCTCCACAAGGATCGCCACCCACCCCCAATTAGGTTGGTGTGGGTTTCTCATTGAATCCTTTAAAGCATTCAGCGCCAGTTGCTGCATCAACAAGTCAAACAATCATTAGCATATGTTTGACATGTATTTAGAATATATAGAAACCGAAAATCTAGCTTTTTACAAGTACAGTTAAGCAGGAATTTTCCTGCGCCATAAATTGCAATAAACTTGTGAGATTTGTATCTCATTTACATGACTTAATAGTTGGGTTTGGTTTGTGTAACTCCAGATATGTGTGAATTTCCCGATATAAAACTATATATATTACGGCAAATTCTTTTTCTCCAGCTTATAATTAAGTATCTCTGATATGAATTTAGACCCAGAAAACAAAAAAATAGAATCTTTTTCATTTGTAATAAAATTATAGATAGTTAAGAAAGGCCCTTGAGTTGCCATTGAACCCATATATTCTACTTTTGATAAAAATATATAAAAAGAAAGAAGGTAAAAAAGAACATAATTCTTGTGAAATAACCAAACCAAGAAAGTAGAGAATACAAACTGTAGTGAGCTTACAATCTTGACTGTTAGTCAGTGCTTCTATGCTAAAAATTTGGAGGGAAGCAACAAGCAGGAAGCAACAAGCCAGGAATGTCAGAATTCTTGGATCATCTCTGGAGTAAAAACCTCAAACACTCTTTGTTTTCAGTTTGATTATTTTTACAAACAGAACCAACCCATTTTAGCAAAAAGCAACTAATTTCCAGTAATACGGTAGCAATTTGGCTTTTCCCCCAAAGCCTATATCTTGTTGTATCAGAAAATCAAACCATGTGAAAAGGTCTTAAATGGAACTTTTCTTTTGCTCTATATGAAAAAAAACATGGAACCAGTACATTGACTAATGACAATCTTGTATTATCCATGTTTTCAAAAGGTACAACTTGAAGGTTGGCCATGACATTAAACAGAAAGTCATATCATAATAAATATCTTTTTTTTCAGATGAAATAAAGAAATATTATGAAGCATATATATATCCAAGGAAAATGATGAAGCGCAAAGTGGGTCCTATTGGAATTAAAATTAACAATGAATTTTTTCCCACCAATGAAAAGGAAAAAGCAATTTAATAAATATCTATTAACAATGCGGAGATCTCCTTAAATTTGGTGGGTTTTTTCGTTCTCATATTTTCTCGCTGTTTTCTCTCATTTTTGAAGTTAAAATGATATATGACCAAAGTAATAGCACAATTATGAAGTAGGTTAGTAACAGAATAGAAAGTAGCATTCCAATCTAAAATTAAGAGAATATATAATTTGTTTAACTATAACACGCTAACTTTCATAAACTGTTCTAACTTCACCTTTTTCTAATCTTGTAATGGATAAATCATACATACATACGTACATATATAAAAAGTAACTCAGTGCATGAAGCTCCCGCTATGCACGGAAAAGGGTCGAACTAGAGAAAGAATGTCCGATCACTTTGAATCTAACACGTTCACACACTAACTTTCGTCTATTGTATTAACTTCACCTTTTAGGCTAACTTTGATGTATTGTAATAAGTTCACCTAATCATAATAAGTTCACCTAATCAAAGGCTTGCCACCGGTTCAGGTGGAATTGGAATCAGGTCGAAGCTGTCGGTTCAAAATGTTAAATTGGAATTGACGGTTAAGGAGCGATTAAAGTTCATATGAACGTGAACCGATTTGAAATCATAAGTTAACTCGTGTTTCCGGTTCGATTTGAATTGGAAGTCTATTTTTTTATTTTGAAAAAATTATAATAACTTATTCTATTCTATATGTTTCTAAAAATCTAAATAAATACTAAAAATCTAAATAAATATATTATTACATGGATACATTTGACTTAAAAAAAACTAAAGTAAAAATAAAAAGCAAAATACTTTGTCTAAAATTATACCATTTGATACAAATGGGAGTTTAAAATGTATTTTTCCTTCTAATTTTTTTTTACTTAGTCTCAAATCACATTGATTGAAATATTTTTCAAATTTTTCTAGCAATTTATTTAACTAAAAACATTTAGACAAAATAAAATCATAATTTATATGATAATTTATATCTATTTGTAAGATTAATGAATTTTATTTCTTATGTGAATATGAGCATTCTAAAAGTAATTTAAAATAAAATTTACTTATATTTTTTAAATTCACCTCGATTTTCTTTTTTGAAAAGACGTAATCCTAAGATTGAATTTCTTTTGGTTTTGGAAAAATAATACATATATCACCGAAATCGTAAATAAAACTGTTGATTCATTGGAGATTCACACGGAATTCTTTAGACCAAAAATTAAACCTGAAGTAGCGATTCAAAAATCGGTTTGAATTCAACAATTTAAAAATTTTAAATTATCGATTCCATGAGTTGAAATCGGCTCTACCTACTTAATTCTAATCTTACAATAGATAAAGATAAATCAGATATGAAAAAAATAATAATAATAATAATATAAAAAATCATTTTGTAATTCAAACTAATTATTCAATCAACTACTTATTTAACACAGTAATATAAAAAAATAATATTTTAATTCTAAAAATGCTAAACTACATTATAATGTAAAAATACATTGCATTTTACTTTTGTTATGAATCAACAAATTTGAAAATCAACTAATTTTCTTTTTTTAAAAGAAAAGGAAGTTCATGCGCTCATATTGTTAGAATCAAATGCAAGAACATCATACAAAAAAGAAGGAGAGTATTTCCTCCATTCAAGATCAGACATAGAAACAGCTGTCTGAACAATAATGTGAATTGCTTATGTTTTAATAAAAGCAAAAGCAACATGAGGTAACTCATTTAACAATAATTTGCAGTCTCTAACCACTGCCCCAGAATAGGAAAAATCTAGCATATCAGCTCTCAAAGCATGAATTAAGACTTGACAATCAGCCCAAATGATGATATATATGGCTAAAATTGTATTATTTTGGATGCTAAAATTATGATAATATAGTTTTAGTATTTTGGATGCTAAAATTATGATAATATAGTTTTAGTTATTATTATGTGATAAACAAAAATTATAAGGTGAATTAAATTGTAGACTTTATGGTATGTGTTTTGTTAAATTTATTGCAAATTATTATTTTTGAATGAAACATTTTCAATTGTTATATTTATTCTTATCATTTCTAATGTCTCAATTTAATTAATATAATTCTACTTTCTGAGAATTCAGTATATCAACCAAACACATTACATTGGAATTTCTGGGAAGTAAATTCCCAAAAATTCTACTTCACTTCCGGAAAGTAAATCGAAATGAACCAAACGATACCTAAAACAATTCACAGATTAAGAATAGTTTTATTTTATTTAAATAAGAGATAATGTATCAATTTTTATTCATATAACACAATATAACAACAGAAAAAATGGAAATTAGTCAAGTTAATTTTGTTAATCTTTCATAAATGTTTAGAATCCTTTTTTTTAATTTTGGCAATTTGTATAAACTATTAAATATTTAAAATATAATTATATTAAAATATAAATTTAGAATAAATATACGATGTATTTTTTTATAGTAGAATGTATTTTAATATTTTAAAACTAAAATTATATTTTCACAATTCCCATAATATTTAAATGATCTTTTTTTCTAATGTTTATGTTATTGTTGTTGAATAAGCCATTAATTGAATATATTTTTTTTTACAAAAGAAAATGTTTTGAATAGTTGATTTTTAAATAATGAAACAATTTTTTTAATAGATCGGAGGTCTTTATCAGCTGAAATAACACTGTGGATAACCCTCCCGTTGACTCACTAAATTGGTGAAAAAATAATTATGCTCGAGATGACTCAAACTCGAGATCTCTCACTCTTCACATAAATAAAAAGACCGATCAGACTACCACCTGATTAGCTAAATAATGAAATACTTATTTTTAAAATTTATTTGTACCAAATGAAGTATTATCTATATGAAAATTTTTGGTTATTAATTCATGACTTGTGTACATATATTTAATTTAATCTTCAATTTAAATAAATAAAAATATGATAGTTAAATAAATATATTTATTAAATATATTTATAATTTTTGGTTATTAATTCATGACTTGTGTACATATATTTAATTTAATCTTCAATTTAAATAA